GACTTCAGCTCCCAGAATTCCTCCTCCAGTCGTGTTAGCTCAGGAATTCTGGGAGTTGAAGTCCACAAGTCTTAAACTTGCCAAGTTTGAAGACCCTTGTGATAGATGGTTGTGACCCTTTTGATAGATGGTTAGATATTTGCCAAATTATTTTATTCATATATTATACACACACACACACACACACACACACACACACACACATACATACTCCGTGTATAGATATCTATACATCTATATGTATATCTATATGTATATATATCAAACTAATAGACTTGCATCTCTAAAGAGTTGTAAACTTGGTTCCCCTCTGATCCTATTTTAAATATGTTTTTCTCCTTTGCTGAAATAAGTGTGTGTGTGTGTGACAGGCACACACTGCCTGTCTGATTGGAAAAAATAATAATTGGCGCTGAAGGATATTTTTAATCCCAGAGTGCCATATGATTTGTTTTGCTAATAGCCACAATAACCACAACATTTTTATTCCTCATGAACCCAGCTGGGCCATTTATTACCTCCTTTATATAAATTCATATATATATATATATATCAAATTTAGCAACCCATGCTAAAAAAAAAAAATACAGCCAAGAGAATGTTTTAATACCAGTGGAATGAACAAAAGCTAGTGTTTTGTTTTTTTTTCAAACCTGGCAACTTTAAGATGTGTGGACTTCAACTTCCAGAATTCCCAGCCAGACTTCAACTCCAAGAATTCTGGGAGTTGAAATCCACACATCTTAAAGTTGCCAGATTTGTAAAACATTCTTAAAAGCCAACCTGTTTAGATCTGTACTTCCTGAAATAGACAAACCTGACTCTTTATTTATCCCCACTCCCTGGTTATTTTTAAAGGTAGACTACTCCTTTACCTTGGAGGCTCAACCTCTCACAAATTTGCTTTCCTGGCCATGTGTGGGGATGATTTCCACAAGTCTTTTGATATAGGAAGATTATAGAAGTTCTTGAAAACAGTTCCTAGAGCCGAAAGCTACCTACTTTACAACAAAATCAGATGCATGAAGCGGTTTTGTCAGGATGTCTGTCCTCTTTTCTTGACAGATGCTGGGATTTAAGCGCCAAGTATTACAAGTGGTTTGTCCAGGTGCCTATCCTCACGGCCGTGTTGGTGAGTTGGAGCCAAGGAGGAGTCTGGGAAGGGGAAAAGGGGAGAAATCAACAGGCGGGGTTCAAAAAAGTCAAGATGGCAGACAGGGTTGTACAGGGAAAGCCGCGTCTAGTTTTTACAGACCTTGCCTGTCATTTAAATCAGAATTTCTCAACCTCAGAATGTTTTAAGATGGGTGGACTCCAACTCCCAGAATCCCCCAGCCTACATGCTTTAAGAGGGGAGGACTCCAACTCCCAGAATCCCCCAACCAGCCATGCTTTGAGAGGGGGAGATTCCAATTCCTAGAATACCTCAGGCAGAACAGAAAATCCTAGGGCTGGAAGGGATCCGAGAGGTCATCTACTCCAACCCTCAAGGCAGGAGGCCTTTTACAGGTAGTCTTCAACTTACGCCCGCATTTGATCCAAACATTTCTGTTGCTAAGCCAAGCTCTTGTTCAGTGAGTTTTTAGCCCCATTTTGCCACCTTGCTTGCCGCAGTCATAAAGCGAATCACTGCTGAGTTTAAAAGTGAGTATCATGGTCGTTAAATGAATCTGGCCGTTCCCCTTGATGTTGATCATCAGAAAGACGGTCATAAATATGAGTCAGTTGCCAAGCATCCCAAATTTTGATCACGTGACTCTGGGGATATTGTAACGGCCGTAAGTGTGAAAAACGGCCGCTTCAGTCGCTAAACAAATGGTTGTATGTCGAGGACTCCCTCTATACCATCCCGTTCAAGTAGAATTATCCACTTTATTTCGGAAACCTCCAGCAAAATTCGTACAATGGGTGAGAAATCGCAGCTATTGAGAGAGATCTATCATCCCCAGACTGCAAGGCACAATTAACTGACACACACACACAGAGAGACACACAGACACACAACCCCGTGGCATGAATGAAGCCACCCCAATCCCTGGGGGGGGGGGTCTGCAGACGTCAAATCAAAGCCATTCTCGGCTTCCTTCGGACGTGGGGAAGACAACATTGGTGGAAAACTGAGCCGGGCTTCCCGGCCTGGAGAATTTATTTTCCAGCAAAACAAACCCAACGTCCACGCTGGGCAAACCATTGTTTTGTGGTCAGTGGACCGTAAATGGAAAGATTTTTTTTTCAGGGCTGGCGCTTGACCAGTAGTCTCCGGCCAGCTTCTTCCATTCTCATCC